TGTTCCATAGGTTTAAAGTATAGACTAACGGGAATAACATTGTAACCACTATAACTTTTATCTGCAAAATATGAAGAAGTGAGAGTTATTGATTTTCTTGCTCTTAAGCTGCCCTTGTGCAGATAATCATGCAAAATTATTGAGAATTAGAACCTGTAGTACAGATAGTAGCATCTACAAATGATGTTGGCATTAACAATATAAAGAAACGTCATAGAGCCCATGAGGATCTGTTGTTGTTATAAACCAAAAAACCCACTCCTTGGTGTTCAGAAATCATAAGTGGACCTATTTGGAACCCCAAGGAAAGAAGTCCTGTGCTAACAGTGGTGTGTTTATAGTGAGTGGTACAGTTTACCAAATGAATGAGGGACCAGGATGTGTCTACACTGCCTTAACCAAGAAGAAAGAAAGCACTTAGGGAAGGAAACTTGCTTGTTTTCTTTCCTTTCATCTTGTCACTATAGTGCAAAGACCCTGATAGGTCTGTGCTCTGCAAGGAGGGTTGAGTCCTCCCCTCATACATGTTGAGTAGCAACCAGAATGTTACTTTGCATACAGAAGCATCTAGCTATCTAGCCAGGAAGCTGCTTCTGTCTTGCTACTGGTGCATCCTCTTCACGTAGCAGACATGTGTGCATGGAGCTCATCCACATCGCATATTTCCTTCCAATTCTATTCAACCTTAAAGAGTGTTGCCATCCAAGTTGAGGGCAGGACCATTCTGCTGTAGAAAATGTAGAAAAGTAAAGGTCTCAAACATTTTTGCTTACTTATTTTTGTGACTGTGATTCACCATATTTTTATTTTTGTTTTATTTTACTATCCAGTGGAAGAAGACACAGAATAAAATTCACAATCAGGAAGAGAATCTATATCCACAGCCAGTGATCAGCCTTTACACTCTCTGGAGAGACAAATGAATGGGAACCAAGAGACAGGGGACCATACTGATAGGAAAATGACAAAACTGGAAAAGAGAAGAAAAAAAAAATCAGATAAAATGAAAGCCAAGAAGATAATGCTGAAGGGTTTTGGAGACATGTTCAGGGTAAGTCTTTACCACCATAAACTGGAGCATTCTTAAATATACAGTCATGCACTTAACAAGAGGGATACCTCTGAGAAAAGTATATTGGGTGATTTCTTCATTGTGCACAATTTTGGAACTTACATGGTATAGTCTACTGCATGCTGGACTCTGTGGTACATGCTATTATATATGTGGTCTGTGATTTACCAAAATTTTAGGTGGCACATGACTGTATGTTATGGTGACATTCAGATAAAAAACACAAGAAGCACATATTTGAAAACAGTATCTTTGAAGACAATGAAAATTTTTTATCATTTCCAGTCTTAGCTACTGCAGTATTACTTTATTCAGGATTTTGCCTTAGTTATTTCAGCAGCCTTCAGCATGATATCTTGCCAACCACGTAGATAACCCTGTGGAGGAAGGAGGGAGTCCTCTGTGTTTTCACTCTGTACAACAGGTAGAGGCCCATGGAAACAAAGGGCTATTAAAATAGTTTTTGTTCTTTTTTTTGTGTGGAACAGTGGTTCATTATCTGCATTTAACAACCCAGAGTTCAAGTTGTGGTAGCATTTAAAGGTCCATTAATAGGAAGTCTAATAAATATTATGTTACATATAGAGCTTCAATTAAGCTGTGAAGATTAATTTAATACTTATTACTTTAAGTCTGCAAAGATTGATGAAACGTAATCTCTGCCTATTTCTTGACAGTCATTTTTGTGTCCCTAAATTATACTCCAGGATGACTTAGCATATCATTTTTACAAATAATTTCAATAAAAGTGACAAGTTCTTCAGAAGTTTCACTGAAATTCCCCCATAAATGTTTATCTAAGGTGATTTATAATATTCAGGTATTTAATGTTAACTGTAAAATTGCCTGATTGTTCCATAAATTAAAGCCCTAAACTATCAAAATGATGCTTTAAAATTGAAATCATATAGCATCATCTATTGACTTATTAAAAAAGTAGTTACCCTATGTTTTGAGTCCCTTTCTTTTAAATTGTTTAATTGAAGAATGTAAAGAAGAGATTTATTTTCATGGACTTATGATCCTCAAGTTGACCTCAGTAACTCAGGATGTTACAGGTATGTCATATCTGGAAAATTTAGGAATCAGAATTCAGCTGAAAGGTCACACAACAGAGCAGATGTGTTCTGTAAATGTGGTGAAGACACGTGCATGTAAGAAGCAAACTATAGATTCATATTAACATAAAATCTGGTCTGTTCACAGTATTATCTTTAGTTTAAAATAGGATTCATTTCTCCAATGGTTCACGCAGTCATTTTTCATTAGACTTTTTCTTATTTATATACTGCTCCTTCTAAATCCATCTTCAGTCAATTCTTCATTCTTAATTATATTCCATGCCCAAAAATATTCACGGAACAAAATAGCTCCTACTGCCCTTTGTTCAAGCTCCTGTGTTAGCCAGGGGTCTTTTCTTTTCATATATACAATCTGACACCTCATAAACTGGCACCTGTGAAATGCACAAGACACAGGCTGCTGTCCATCAATTAAAATTTAAGGAATTTGTGCTAGTGTCATCTTTAAATTAGAGAATAACAGGTAAAAGGAAACCTCTTACAAGAATGCAGGATAGTTGCATTTCTAGGGCTCTCCTGAAGGCATATTGAAAACCAATGGTTTGCTAGTTTTCATTCATCAACCAATATTTATCTGATAGATAAAAGGGTTCTGGACTTGTTATTATGTAATGGTTAAACAAATTTCTAGTCTTTTGAGATTATCTTAATTATAAATTATCTTTGTCTTCAATTTGCAACTTCAATGGTGGACTTACAATTTGTGGCCAGAGTAGAGGACTTTGGGCAAAATGTATATTTTGTAAATGAACCATGAACACTTCATGGCCCTCTTTTTCTTAAATGGCTTGCAGAACATTATATGACGTTTTCTCAAGATCTAAATCCAAAGACTTTACCTATAATCTGTAAGGAAAGCCAGCCATATAGTAGAAAAAAAATTGACCTATATATAACTTCCCAAACCTGCTTACTCTTGAAAATCAAATTATATATTCTGGGATGGAGGGTGAAGTTTCTTTCATTTTATTTTTTCTTTCTTTTTATTAATTAGGCTAATATTCTTCCAGTACTTAAGAATGGCTGGTAAGAAAATCATGGATACTTAAACTTCTCTGGATACCTGGTATCATTGGTTTGTTAAAGTCAGCCCACATTTATTTTTTTATGAGAGTAGTTTTTATCAATTTGCAAATCATTGTTAAACCCAACCATTATTAAAAATTAAGTAGATCATATTAAAAATCAGGGATAATTAAAACTTAAAATTCATCCCTTCCTAATTATTTTTACCATATTATAATCCCAGGTTCTTAGAAGATGTATACCTGCTTAAATTTGGGATTTAATATATGTTAATTAATATATACATTTGGAATTAATATGCACATTTCCACAAAATTGACTGCTACAATTTGTAATGAGATGACATCAAATCTTTAGATAAATTTTGGGAGAACTAACATCTTCATAATATTCAACCTTCTAACCTGTCAGCAGTGGATTCTGCCATGAGACTGGATCCCATTCCAGCAGAAGCAGCACAGTACCTGGCAGGATGGAGGTGAGGATAGTGGTAGCCAGGAGAGGGGCTGCTGGAAAGGAAGGATTCATAGTTCCACGGGCACCTGTAGAGGGGACATCCAACAGAAAAGTGAAGAAGGGGCCAGTTGTCACAGGGCTGCTTGGGTGTGGGGTCACAAAGAACGTGGTGGTACTCACATGAATCTGAGAAGGGACACTGAAGGAAAGCCCAGACACTTCTCTGATCCTTGTGGCAGCTGAGGATTGCTGGAGCTGATGAGGACAAGAGGGCTGATCTCCATAGATTGTCAGTTCTGGGATGCATGAAAGGACTTGCATGCCATGAGGAAGGAAGTGAAGGAGTGCTGCTATTTCATGTTCTTCTCGGTGTCAAAAGTGCTTTGGGGCAGTGCTGCTCTGGGCTACTGCTGAGGTACATGTTTCAGCATCAACTCATGGCATGGGAGGCTTATCCCATTCTGTCAGATGCTTAGCAGCCAAGTTACACTCAATGTAGGAAATCAGAAATATTCTGATTTTGTCTGCCAACATTCCTTCAGAACAGCTTACATCCACTCTGGATCACAGACAGAACATCATCCTTAGCAAATGGAAGTCAGTCATTATGTGCTTCATTGTCTTTCACTTCAAAGTCATAAAATGCTTTGCACTGGGGTGGGGGCTGATGCAATGGTTTAATATTCTGCACTAAGTTGGTTGGGCAAAAGCCATGGATCCCATTGACTTACTCTGTGGAGCCAGCTTTTATCAACGTGAGGTAAAAAAAAAATGATGATGTCACATTTGCTGAATTTAAAGTCTCCAGGTTCTTTTTCTTCACAGTTGTGTAATTCTTTAGGACATGGTAACAAGTATACCTCTCACTGGGGCCACTAGGCTTGCACTCAAGGCTTCCATCCCCATACTGGGAGCTCTACAAATGTTTTGCACTACAATTAGAGATAGTGCTGCCCTGAACCCTTAATGCATTTGTGCAGATGGCCCCACTGCCCCCATTGGCTAGATTTACAAGGCCTCTGCTTGATGTCATCCAGAAGCGTGAGCAGCAGGATGTTACCTGGAATCTCATCATGGGAGCCAACAAGAGTTCTCCACTCAGGACAACGGAGGGAACCTACAATCCCAGAAAACATGATTTGCAAAACCTGTACTGGCAAGGCAAGACTTTTGCAGAAGCACCAGGACACTCCAAAAGCTACAAGGAGGCAGATTCATTCATCTTGATGTACTTTAATGAGAAAGGGCTATAGAAATGTTCAAGTTGTGTGCAGCTCTTAAAATGATTCATGTAACATTCATTTCAGACATTGATCTTGCACCTTGGCTCCTCCTCCTTGTTCTTAGTCCCCACAGTGGTGGCCATGGCCAATGCAGATTCCACCCAGCCTTGCCTTCTGATTCCTGTTTCTCTGAAGCAGGCACAGTGGCCTCTGGATACCCTCGTCTCTGCTGACCCCTCTATGCACAGACGCTTTACACAGGTGTCACTGCCTCCCACTTGCCCAGCCTTAAATGTTATTGTTTAAATAAACAGAATGTTTGATGGGTTAGAAACCAATACATGAGAGATGGAATAGTCCAAATTTCAATCCTGGCTTGAATATTTTGTGACTGTGTGACTTTGTAAAAGTGACCTAACTTCTCTCCTTTCTTTTTCTCTGGTGGAAGTAATAGTCCCTGTCTCAGGGAACCAAAGGAACTAAAGATAAAGCTTCAATGCAGTGCATGTCAGGATACACACTCCAGGCGTGGCAGGACTTGTTACCCTGATTTTAATAATGTATGAAACAAGAGTAATAATGACAGTGTCTTGTGGTGATGGGAAGCTGACAGTGCAGGGGTAGCAAGGATCTTCACTCTTACTGTGAAGCGGCTGAAGGATAGACACCAAGGTAGATGGGGCATGAATGCTTGACACCGGTGACATATACACACCTCTCCCTCTTTGCTTGCAGAATGTCCCCCAAGACCTGTCCATCAACACCTTTGGGCTGGAGCAGTCCCTCTTGTTGTGGATCTGGCAAGAGATGCTGGCCAACACAGTGGAGAAGTTGGAAGGGGCAAGTACACTTTAGACTGGAGTATTTTAGTGTGCTCAGCTGCTGGGGGATGGTGGATCTTACAGGTATTGGAAATTGTGTTTGTGGAGTTAAGTCAATTAATTTTTAACTTGTGACTCCCTTGGGGTTGACCTTCTGCATTACCTAGCACCCCATCATATCTTCAACTTGAAAACAGAAATCCAAGTGCAATGAATCTCTGTGGTTGCCTGTTGTGCACATGGGCATCTGTGTGTCTCCCTGTGTCTTCAGAGCTCTGACTGTTTCTCTTTTGACCAGTTGTTTTGTGCAAGGCACTTTGTTATTGACCATTATTTATTGTCAAATATGTTTAAGTGTGTGGCTATGTTCTAAGCTGTTGTTTGGCGAGTAAAATTTCATGGCACTGTTACATAATTTAGGTAATGAAATCATGGTGATATGGCTTTAGTGAATTATAAATTTGCCCATAGTTAATCATTGTCTCCTTTTGAAAATTAAGACTTTTATTTCTGTTTTCAAATGCAGATATTTTTCTTCAAAAATATATAAGATGATTTTAATTTTTTTCCATGTGGCAAGCTCTTACTGACTGGGTAATACCCATTTGTAACCAATTCATACAGTTTAAAGTTAAGCAGAAGGACAAATGGCCACTTTTTTGGGTCTTCTCTATAATTTTTTAGGGGTATTCTAAGTGCTGCACTGTTGCGTAGTTTTCTAAACTCGAGTATTTTCAGGAATAGTACCAAAATTTTTCTTTGTCATTAATGATCTCTGTATAGCTTTTATGTTTTGAATCATTATTCTAGTGGGATGATTAAAGAGATTAATAATACATGGTTCCAAAGAAATGAGTGATTGATTGTGCTGTAACACACATTTTGGCACCATCCACAAGAAAATCCTGTTTCTCTATAGTTTAAAAAATTGTAGTGTCACAGCTTAGAATTTTAATTAAGCTGTGTATGAATTCTAAATTAAATATTAACATACATAATTTGATGAAAACCTACTATAGGAAAGAGATGAATTTCATGGAACTGGAGCTTACTTTCACTTGCTAGTATATTTTATGAAGAAAACACTGTCAAATAGCTCAAGGGAAAAATACCTAAAATTTTAGGGGGGAGAAAGATTCTTATTTAAGAAGCAGTTTTGATGATACCCAGGAGTGATATTCAAAATATTTTACAACTGCCTTGGCATAAGTACCAGTGAATCAGAGTGGCTTTCAAACACAGTTCTGGAGGTTGGGGTGGTCTGAGTGATTTGTGGGGTGTCCTGGAGGACCCCTAGGGGGTTTAGTGATGTTTACCAAGAGGGATAGTTTTTTGCACTGTAACAATCATTTAAATCAGGAAAGTGTTTACTGGTTGTATTTGATCCATGGAAGCTTTTGGGACTCATAGGAATCATGTTTTGGACTCCCTGGATGCCCATACCATGTCTCCTTGAGTTTTCTGATGTCTCCTTCAAATGCCTTATGGGACTCTGATGGTGAATGCTTTTGTCAAGCAAATTGACATGTCTCAGTTAATAAATTGTACACAGTAGATTCTCTGGAATGAAGATTCCCATTTCCTTGGGTAATGTGTCAGAGAGGAAACATTAATCTTTTTATTTGGTGATGGTGAGGTTATCAGGGATTGAACTCTAGGGCACTTGACCACTGAGCCACATCCTTAGCCCTAGTTTGCATTTTATTTAGTGGCAGGGTCTCACTGAGTTGCTCAGCACCTCACTTTTTGCTGAAGCTGTCTTAGAACTCATTATCCTTTTATTCTCAGCCTCCTGAGCCACTGGGATTACAGGCATGCAAAATCACACCCAGTTCAGCAGTTTCTAATTATAGAGTGCTACTGATTCTCTAAAATAGAATGCTTGCATCTTACAAAGAAAAAAATTTGTACTAGAATTTTGGTAGGAAATGATATTACAAGTTTTGGGAAAGTGTACAAATAGCTGTTCCTGAACTCTGGAAATGCGCAGGAGGCACATGGGGTACTTCATCTGTCATAATCATCTCTGGTGATCTGGGGAATGATGACATGAATGGTGCAAAACTTTCTCACATTTAAATAAGGTGTAAGACCAGGTGCCCCTGTTACAGAGTGGAAAGTCAAAGGTAATTGACCAAGACTCAACTTTTTTAGCTGGGTGTGGTTTGGTATCTTTTTACTATTTGATATACTATTATAGTTTCTATACCATTTGAAAATCCTATAATCCTTCAAAGAAAAATAATTTTTAAGAAGCCTCACTTTTTTTCTTTTCTACTAAGAAATGGGAAAATAAGAGTGGAAAGGAATGGAACAGCATTTGATGTCTGTTCTGTTTTTCTCTTTAATAAAGGGAAAAACTCTGTTATAGTGAATATGATGATGATGATGATCATGAAAAAAGTGTTATTGACTCCATGTTCAGATGAGGACAATGCTCAGGAAGTTAAATTTAAAGTAGGTATCTTGATACAGATGCTGTAGATGCAAACAAGCTCGTGATTCATTTAGTGACTTTTACATTCAAACACAAACAGCTCTAGCAAGTAAAGAAGAATCTGCAGCCTGGTTTTTGTGTGCTTCTATATTGAATGGAACTGAAGACAATTGGTTTGAGTCCCAAAAGTGTTGCTTTTTAGTTGTGTGCCTTGACCAGTAATCTCTCTGAATCTTAGTATGATTTCTGATGCTATAGTTTGATATCACCCTGGGTAAATTATAGAGAAAAGACATTTTATTTAGCTTATGGCTCTGGAAGTTAAAGAGCATGCTACTGATTCAAGTAGTCCTGATTCATGGTCCTGCCCAGGTTTGAATTCAAGTGGGTTATGAACTCCCATTTTTACCCCATATACAAATTGCAGAATCACATCAGTTACAATATGATATATCAAGAACTATGTAATGTTTTGAACAACCAACAATAAACAAATTTTAAAAAAAGATTATTTTATCTATACTCCCAACACCTACTAGATTATTTCACATTTTTCAGACATCATATAATTTAATCCATAAAATTTTAACTTTTTCTTTAAAATATAAGGGCAATTAATTTTTTATTTATTTTATTTGTTGTTTTTAGGTACACATGACAGTAGAGTATATTTTGACATATTATACATACATGGGGTATAATTTATTCTAAGATCCCATTCTTATGGTTGTAAATAATGTGGAGTTATCTTGGTCATGTATTGTATATGAGCATAGAAAAGTTATGCCTGATTCATTCTACTGTCTTTTCTATTCCCATCCCTATAAAGGAACTTTAAAAGCTAAAAATACAATAATATTATCACATCTTAATATTTTAGCAGTAATATAAAATATCACAAAATAGTTGGTTTCAAAATGTTCTTATTTTAAATTTTCTGTATTGTAAATTCCATTCTCACAGAATGCCTGTTGATTTTTGGCCGAACTCATATTTGTAGCTAAGCTGAAGTTGCAATGTAACCATAATTTGAAGAATGGAGTTGAATCCCCAATCTGCTAACTATTTTCCCAATAAAAATATTATTAAATCTGATGTCATCCACCAATAAACTCTTTCTCATCTTGTAAAAAAAAAGATACAGGAAAACAGTTTCAAATACATCTATAAGAGTGAGGGGTAAGGGTTACAACAAATTTTTGGAAAATAATGAGACTATTAATATTAAAATTAAGCAAAGTTTATGAATCAATGATTCATTGGTTTTAAGAAAGTATTTTATAAAACAAAAGAAATAATATAAAAATATACATGCATAAAAATAGTAATACAGCATTGTTCATGGTGGCAAAAAAAAAAAATTTGGAAACAGTCTGATTTTCCTCTATAAGTTCAGTCCTTCTTCTGTGTCTCCCCCCCACTCCCAAATAGAGACAATCAAGTCTATTCAATTATAGCAAGGAATACCATTTTGACATTAAAAAGCTAAGTTAAACATAGACTTTTTCCTGATATATTAGGAGGAAAAAGAAAATTCCATAATAATGTGTATAGATCCTATTATTAATAGCAATTACGTATTCCATAATTCCATACATATGTGTATATGTATGCATGAAATTGCGTACATCAAATTAATAGCTTTAATTCCCCTGGGGGAGGGTAGTTGAGGATGTATCGGTGAAAGATAATTTACTAAATATCTTTATATATTTTATATCATTTTTAAATCATTTTTCTAAAACGAGAATGTATTCTTTTTATAATCTTAGATATATGTCAGCCAAAATTGAGAGAATAATAAAACCAAGTGTGGGTTCATCTTTATTTTATACTGTAAAAAAAAAGAAAGAAAAAAAAAAAGAGCATGCTACTGGCATCTGGTGAGGCCTGCTGGGTCATGAGATGGCAGAGGGCAGCAGGCCATGGTGTTGTAGCTTAATGGATCTGGAAGGGCCCATATATATATATATTTGTTTTTTTTTTTTTTTTTTTTTTTTTTTTTGGAGAAGGGGTCTAACTAAATTGCTGAGGCTGGCCTTGAACTTGTGGTATTCCTGCCTTAGCCTCCTAAGTGGCTACTAGGATTAAAGGTGTGTGAAACCATTTCCAGCTGACAATTTGATTCTGATACATGTATCAGACAGGTTGATAAAACTGGCCATAGAAATAGAAATGGTCTAATCATACATGGTGGCATAATGCCTTTGAACTTTAGAGACATTTAGAAAACCTAAAACTACTAGTGAATGCTGTCCTTGAAACATTAGATTTGGCTCATCAACAATTCAAGCATAACTAGGAACAAAAATATATATTAGATGTCTTTTATTATCTTAACAAAAACATAATTCACCTTCAGGAGCTAAAGCCATTTCACTGAGTCATATCTTATCCTTCTTTTTGCTATATATTTATAATGACCCAGTTACTTGGAAGTTTTTACATCCTATAAGAAGTCAAAAGAACATCTGAAGAACTACTTTGAAGACTTAAATAAGTAGTAGTCTAGAAAAACTGACATGAATACCAACTCAAGTTTCAAGTTCCTTCTTTTTAGAAATATTACATATGCTGAACTTTTTAAAAGCAACTTGTCATAACTGATTTGTGTCCATGTTAGCAACTCTTCTAAAATTACTTTTGAAATAGTCTAACATGAGAGTTTTTCTATAGAAATAAATCAGATTATTTTTCTAGTAAGTGTCAACAGGCTGCAGATGTAGCTCAGTAGTAGAAAGCTTCCCTAGCATGGAGAATGCCTTGGAGTTTAACTCCCAACATTGGAAGAAAAGGAAAGGGAGAGAAGGGAGAAAGAAGGAAAGAAGGAAAAATGGGAGTGGACAGGAGGGGAGGAAAAGGAATGAATCATTACAATAAATGGACAAGTGGTACAAATATAAATATATGATGTAGTATCTCTTTAAATTATTTTACAATACTTTAGTATTTTAGTTACATCAAACTTGGTGACATTATGACTGAATTAAATAGTACATAATAAGCTCCACCTTGGCCTGGTTGACACTAAACAAAGGGCTATGTGGCATGGAGAGGAGTCTTCTCTTGCTCAATTGCGACAGACTGGAACCTGCACTGCTTCAGAATGCACAGCATAGTGAAGGGGCCAAGACTTCCCTGACAGGCACTTGAGTGTGCTAGGCTCCTGGTAGCCTATGACTAGCTTCCCAGGTCTATGCCCACAGCTCCACCTGTCCCGCTTGCAGCTGCTTCACAATGGTATGCTCCATTCCCTGGTGCAGGTTTGAGTTCCTCACCAAATATCTGAGTGTCCACAGCCTGTTTGGTTGTGGCTGGGCAGGCTGTGGCTGCAGCAGTAGTAGGCAAAGCAGCCTTAGCATGATAGAGTGGTCAGGGGGTGCCCCTCAGCTGTATTTTGGGCTCATCCTAGAAGAAGTATGCAGGCCTTTGGCATCATTGTCTGCTGATATAAAACCAGGCCCTTATCCTTATTGATATCCTTGGGAGTTGGTGATATATGCAGTTATTGGATTTTTTGCTGTACTCTTGTTTCTGTGGAGATGTTGTCACTGTGTTAGAAGCAGGTGTTATGTGAGAAGAGGAAAAACAGCTTGCTCTAAAACTTGCTGGACTAATTGAAGAAAAATGTCAACTACTTGAGAAAGTTAGCCTTGTTCAAAAAGAGTATGAAGGCTTAGAGTCATCTTTAAAGGATGCCATTTTGGAGAAGAAGTCCATAGAAGCAGAAAATTTGAAGGCAATTCATGAAAAGCTCGATAGTTCTAAATCTAAACTAGGGGATGAAATACTCTTTATAGAAAAAGATCTAAAAGAAGAGAAAACTAAACATTCTCAAAAGGATGAATTTATGGCAGATATATCAAGAAGGATTAAGTCCCTAGAAGATGAATCCAAACCCCTCAAGTTACTAATAGCCAAAGGTGAAACAACCTTGAGAATATTTCAAATGAATGTAGGAGGGTTTAATGTAGCAATTAAAGAGGTTTTGAAAGAAAATTCCCAACTTCAGGATAGTCAGAAACAACTTTTACAAGAAGCTGAAAGAAAAAGTGAATAACCTTAATAAACAGAAAATGACATTGGAAGACTCTACTGTATATGCAGAACAAGATCAAAGAGACAAAGAAAATCATATTTAATCTCTGACTGAACACTTGGTGCAGAAGAAAGATTGGGATTCTGTGCTTGGAGAAGACCTAAAAGATTATGGTAACTTGGAATTGAAAATTAAGAGTGAATCAGAAATTGGTGTTCACTTAGATGATCAACCAAAAAGAGCTTAGAAGTAACAGGTTCACAGTGCTAAATTAAATGCCCCAATTTAAAAAATTAGAAGGAGAAAGAAATAAAATATTTACTTTATTATCTGAAGTAGATGAAGTAAAGGAAGACTTTATAGAAAATATTAAATATCTTAACACAGAACAACCATCTTTGCAGTAAAAAACACAAATATAGAAAAAAAACACAATTGGAGCCTATCAAAAGGAGATGAAGAGTCTTGGGCTTTAGACAGTGGGACATGTGGATTCTTACAAACAATGTTGAAGTTAAGAAGTTACTTCTTTCACTATATAACTCCATATACATAAAATACAAAATGGACACAAAGAAATGCATTCCTATATTGCTAATAGGGTCATTTTCAGAGAGTTATGGCAGGAAGGGAAAATGGAATTAGAGTCTGCATGCTCTGCTCTAGTTCTTTTTTGTTTGTTTGTTTCAGTTACATATGAAAGTAGAATGCACTTATGCAGTTTGATATATCATACATAGGTGGGAAATAATTTCTCATTTTTCTGAGTGTACATGTTGTAGAATCATATTGGTCATGCATTCACATATATACATACAGTAAAAATGTCTGTTTCCTTCTACTATATTTTCTATCCCCACATCTCCTCCCCTCTCCTCCCATCACTTCCCTCTACCTAATCTAAGGTAATGCTATTCTTCCCCATTGCCCCCTGCCTTATTGAGAATTAGTATCTGCATATTAGGAAAAAAAATAGGTGTTTTGTGTTTTGGGATTGGCTTATTTTGCTTAGCATGATATTTTCCAACTTCAAACATTTACTGGAAAATTCCATAATTTTACTCTTCTTTAAAGCTGAATATTTATATATTCCCACTCCCCATGTTCCACTTAGCAGAAGCCAGACTGTCAAATGATGCTGGTGGCGAATCTTAGAAAGGGGGCAAGGGCACGGAACCAGCCATTGCTCTCCCTGTGTTCCCTGATAACTGAGCCTCAGAACTCCCAGTGACTCTCCAAGATGTTGCTGCCTTGGTGAAAAGAAGAGCTGGAACCCACAGCTCTCTGACTCACTGCATGCGCAGCACCTTCTGTGATCTTGGCTGTCTCTCTGGTGAGAAAACTCTGGACCTTCTGCTGGCTATGGCCTCCTGGGGTGGCTCCTCAGTCTGGCTTTAAGGAGAAGCTGCACTGGTTTGTTTCATACATAGAGGCTCTGTGAACCTTTTAGTTCTATTTTCTTCTATGCTCTGTCTATTAGAAACCCCATTGACTAATATTTGATGGTTAGAGTGTCTCCAGATACATTACATTATCATTATTTTTATTATTTTCCATTTGTCTGAATTTCTGTCTTTCTAATTTTATGTTACTGAATTATATATTTTTATGAAATGCTATGACTTTTCTTTTAGAACTAGGTTGAATAAAATTAAGTGGTAAGTCAGTTGATTTTTTTTTTCACTAGTAGATAAATCACTCTCTTTTTCTTTGAATGTTGGCTATTTGCTAAAGCTTCCATTATACTGAGGAGAAATGGGAATATTGTGGAAGCAAACACAGGACCTGAGCCACAGTGAGTGACCCTCGAGCCTCAGAGGGCCCTGGCGCTCTATGGACAAGGGTGTGGGACCACTATGCTGATGGGTGGGGCAGGAGGGACCCTCCTCCACTTGTCTACTTCTAGATCATCTGTTCCATCACATTGAATAAGTGCAATGAGTAAATAAGGTTATATTTGGCATAGGAACCCATTTTTAGAAATCCAGATGTGTAAGTAGTTTTATAATAGTTCCTCTCTAGGCTCTGTGTCAGGTCCTGGGTTTCATGGACATATTAGCCTGACATCTGGAGTGGGGCTGAGGTGAGGCAGCAGAAAGGGGGCCTGAGAGGGCACTCTTCAGGTCCCCTGAGCAGCTCCTGAGAAACATGCAGCCCATGCTTGCCCTCCTGCTGCAGAGCCTTCTGGGACACACTGTCACTCAAATGCACTTCAAATGCGTGCACCTGGCCTAATGCACAAGTTGTTATTTACTTAGGGAGTTCTTAGCTCATCAAAGCCTGCAAGTAACTTCAAATGAAAGAAAAAAAACCCTAATTTTCTGGAGTGGTGGCAGGTAAAGGGCATAGCTCTTCAAGGGTGAGCTATGCCCTTGAACCTGCTACAATGGCAGGTGGAGCCATTGGAGCCCGAGCAGTATTCTCCTTGAGTGTGATCACTGCCGATTGCCTGGTTACCAGTATGAGAACCATGAAGGGACAGGACTCTGTGTGTTCCAGAAGGAGAGGCATTTCATTGTCACCATGACACCAGAGGAGTGGAGCCACCAGCCAAGTCCCTGGCACATGCAAGCTATTGCCACATCCAGTGAGGGACTCCTCTCGCCTCTTCATGGCCCATGTGGACAGGACAGTGGAGAAGAGTGGCAATGGATTAATACATAAACTTCATGAGCCTCTGCTGGGGAGCAGGCGAGCACTCAGTGTGTGATCTGGGAAACTTTACAAGAGCGTTCTGAAGTACACACTTCTACTGTCCCTATCCTCCAGATGGGAAAACTGAGGAGGAGAAAGCATAGGCCAGAGGGCAGCCTTGCAAGCATGCATGGAGTGTGCCTGCATCCACAATTGACTTGGCTACATGAAGCTGGTGACAGGACCTCCAGAAGCTCCATAAAGATGGTGGAGCGAAGACTGTGTCAGTGGACTGACCCTGAAAGGTTGGCCTATATGACAGAACAGCAGGGCCTTGTAAAGCTTGGATTCAGGGCAGACATGCTCGACTTCACTGAGGGGTCCATGCAGCCCAGGGGGCTGTAAGGCCTCTGTGACCTCCTTTGCTCATTCTACAGGTGAGGCAGGTAGCTGTGCAGAGGGGCTGGTGGAGTGAGAGCCTTTAATGGATCTCAAGCAGCCACGTTGGGCCCAGGCTCAGACAGGGACTCCAGGTGACCTTGGAACAGGTGGTTTCTGTGGCTTCCTTTCATCATATCCAAAAGTGGAAGACTTGAATAGTAATTTATAGGGTTCCTCTGGGTTTAAAAATCACCCCTCCACCCCAGGGAACACAGACATTGGAAGTGACATGGTAAACCAGCACTAAGACTGTAGGCCATGGGGGGGTCCTGCCCAGGTTTGAATTCTGGCACATTGGCTTCCTGTGCAAATATCATTAAGTTAATTTCCATAAGCCTCAGATCTCATGTTTGTAAAAATAGAATGTGGCACATCTTGAGGGCCTTTGGTAGGATTAAGTAAAGAGAGTGTGCAGGACATGCAGTTCCAGCCACACAACTTTCCTCATGAGGCCATGCAGGTGGTTCACAGGCTAGATGCTTAGATGAGGAGGGCTGTAACTCATGGGTGGGATAATATGTCTGATGATTTAATAATTTAAAAGAACCAATGGGTGGTAACTTTGGTGGATGTGGCTGGAGGAAATAGGTCACTATGCATGTGGCCTTGAATGATCTGTCCCTGGTCCACTTTCTCTCTCTCTCTCTCTCTCTCTCTCTCTCTCTCTCTCTTTTTCTCTGTCTCTCTTGTTTTTGGTGGGGCTGGTGATTGAAACTAGGACCTGGTGTACAAGAGGCAGCACTTTACCAACTGAGCTGCATGCCCCAGACACCCCCCCCCCCCCCCCTCTACCTCTCTGTATCCTGGCTGCCATGAGCCCAGCAAATTTTCTTCATGACATACTTCTGCCATGATGTTCTGCCTCACCTCAGACCTGGAGCAGTGGACTGCGCCAAACATGGACAGAATCTAAGAAACATGACCTCAAATAAACTCTTCCTCCGCTAAGTGGATCCTGTCAGGTATCTTGGTCATGGTGATGACATCTGACTAACAAAATAATTGTTATGGGCAAGGTGGGGTAAATATTTTCTAGAGTTCACCATGGAGGACATACCTAAGACATCTCTCTGATAAAATACTGATGGATGCATTTTACCATAGTGCAGAGCCAGGCACAGAGGCCTAGCCATTGGTGGAGTAAGGATTTCTGTCCAGTGTTTATAAGCTAGAGGGGAGAGTAGTCTGGGCAGAGGATGGCAGGAGAGCCTGGTGTATGGGACAGGAGTTGAGTATAAAATAACTGAGCTCTGATGAAAGACCGTGCCAGTGAGAGAACCCCACAGGTATATGGGTGCTGATGGAGGAGAACCAAAACCAGACAAACCCAAAAGGCCACCCTTCCCCAAGGCTGAAGAACATGTCTCTGGGGAGGCATGCAAGGAACCACCTGGGTGTCCAGGGTGGGCCATATGGAGCTTGTGGAAGTATGCAGAGAGGATGGGGACAACTTTTTGAGCAGTGGGCCAGTTGCCCAGGGTCCTGTAAATACTGCTGCACTGATGTGGGGTGTGGTGTCCTATAAGGTCCTGGTTTCACTTTCTGTAGATATGAACCTAGAAGGGGGCTTGATGGGTCATCTGGTAGTTCTGTTTGATTTTTTTTTAGATTCTTATGCCATTTGCCCTTATCCCCATCAACTACAGAGGTAGGGTTTCCTTCTCTCAACCCTTTGATAGAGGCTGTCCTAAGAGGTAGGTGTTCTTTCTTGTGGGATGATTTGAGTATCTTTGATGGTTAATGACACTGGGCAACATTTCTGATTCCATTTTTAAGTTGGGCAAATGTTGTCTCCAGTTCCACCTTCTTTCTAGATCCTCCCACCCTCAAGATCCCTTTCCTCCTTCTTTACCTGAGTGGGCCTCATTGTGCTCCATAAAACTGACCCTCTTTCCCTCCATTTTTCTGTGCTCCTTTACTTCTTTCTTTTGTTTTGAGAAATACAGTATTCCAAGTGGTAATGAACACATTAATGGGTTCTCATTTGCTTTATGTGTATTTTAATTTAAAAACCAAAGCCTCCTAAATAGACATATGCATCCATAAATAGCATGCAAATAACACACAGTATTTACATTTTGATGGTTCATGTTGTAAA